AAAAATAACTTAGAATTAAAACTCAGGAGAAAATAAGGTGAAGAATTAGTTATCATCAATCCTCCCCATCCTATTTTCATACTTGTTAAGGAGTGTGAACCCTTAAGGTCTCTTGTTTTCCTAAGGTAGACAGTGGTTATGGATGTAGAGAAACCCCAAAAGAAAACCCTGAGGTGAGAGGTAATGGGAAATAGAGAGAGAGGAAGGATACCTAAGCAAAAGAGAAAGACAGACAAAGGAGATATTGAGGTTTTGCTAGATGAACTGCAATTAATCTCTCTTTTCCATTTCTGCATGAAAGCTTTACTAGAAGTGTATATTATTTAATAATGTTTTACATGGGGTGTGTGTGTGTGTATGTGTGTGTGCGTGTGTATCGAGTGTGGGATTGGTCTCAACACAGCAACTGGGTAAGGACAAAGTCAGCTAAAGGAGGCCCAGTTACATCTTGGTGTCTGTGAACAACATGCATGTAGCAGGGGGCTGAATAAATCTGGGGTAAGATGGTAGCTCACAACCCTGCCCAGAATTCCTCTGTTGATTCCAGATAGACCACCTGCATAACTGTCAGAGAGTATTTGGGTGGCTTCTGTTAAAGACAAAGACTGGACAAGTAAAGAGATTGTTTTTATTCTGGCTATTGCAATCGGGTCAATACTGGAGATCTGAAGATCAGGATGTCTCAGCAGGGTGGTTTTGCCTTAAACTTTCATGGAAAGGGGTAAACATGTGACAGATTGGGGATTTACACAGGCGCTGTTTTGCAAGTAGGAAAAGTCTCAGTATCTGAAAAGGAAATGTTTTTCTCTGTAGTTATCAAGTTTCATGGGGACAAACAGTTCTAATCTTACCTAATTGATCCTGACACATGTGTCTATTCTTAGCTAATCAATCATGAAGAGGTAGAAGTTGGAGAGTCTGTGTCTGGCCTTGTCAACAGGTTCAGGCAAAAGAAAAAGTCTCTCTTTGGCCTTGTCAGTTCCCTCTGTTCAAGACAAAAATCATTTGTCTTAGAACACTCTTAGGGATTAGATTAATTTTTGTGGGGTATTGGTCAATGTTCAGTGAAATAGTCCACAGAATTAGCATTGCTTATTGGCTCAGTTCTTGGAGAAACAGCTGAACCATCTACAGGCATACCCTATTTTATTACATTTTGTTATATTGTACTTCACAGATACTGTGGGTTTTTTTACAAATTGAAGATTTGTGGCAACTCTGTGTTGAGCATGTCTATTGATGCCATTTTTCCAACAGTATGTGTTCACTTCATGTCTTTGTGTCACGTTTTGGTAATTCTTGCAATAATTCAAACTATTTTATCATCATAATTATTATTATTATTATCTGAGACAGTCTCACTCCGTCGCCCTGGGTAGAGTGCAGTGGTGTCATCACAGCTCACTGTAACCTCAAACTTCTGGGCTCAAGGGATCCTCCTGCTTCAGCCTCCAGGGTAGCTGGGACTGCAGGCATGCATCACCACACCCAGCTAAGTTTTCTATTTTTTGTAGAGATGGGGGTCTCACTCTTGTTCAGGCTGGTCTCGAACTCCTAAGTTCAAACTATCCTCCCAACTCAGCCTCCCGGAATGCTAGGATTACAGGCATGAACCACCATGCCTGGCCTATTTTATTATTATTATATCTGTGATGGTGATCTACAATCAGATGTTACTATAGTAAGTGTTAAGGGGCACCACAAACTGCATTCATATAAGATGGCAAACTTAATCTATAAATGTATGTGTTCTGAAGTGCTCCACTAACCTGTCATTCCCCTATCTCTCACCCTCACCTCAGGCCTTCCGATTCCCTGAGACACAACAATATTGAAATGAGGCCAATTAATAGCCCTACAATGGTTCTAAGTGCTCAAGTGAAAGGAAGAGGCACACGTCTCTCACTTTAACATTAGAAGTGATTACTGAGGTAGGCCAACAGTGAGGCCTCTATGACAATTAGCCACGTTTAGAATGCGAAGGAAAAATTTTTGAAGGAAATTAAAAGAATTAAAAGTGCTACTCCTGTGAACACACAAATGATAAGAAAGCAAAGCAGGCTTCTTGCTAATGTGGAGAAAGTATTAGTGTTCTGGATAAAGATTAAACCAGACACAACATTCTCTTAAGCCAAAGTGTAATCCAGAGAAAGAACCTAACTCTTGTCAATTCTGTGAAGGCTGAGAGAGGTGAGGAAGTTGCAGAAGAAAAGTTGGAAGCTAGCAGAGATTTGTTCATGAGGTTTAAGGAAATATACCATCCTTAAAACATAAAAGGCGAAGCAGTAAGTGCTGATATAGAAGCTACAGCAAGTTATCCAGTTATCTAGCTAACATCATTGATAAAGGTTGCCACACCACATATTTTCAATGGAGACAAAAGAGGTTTCTTTCGTAAGACAATGTCATCTAGGACTTTCATAGCTACAGAGAAGTCAATGCTTGGTTTTGAAGCTTCAAAGGACAGGCTGACTCTCTTGTTAGTGACTGGTGCAGCTGATGGCTTTAAGTTGATGCCAGTGCTCATTTATAATTCCAAAAATCCTAGAACCTTTAAGGATTAGGCTAAATCTACTCTGCCTGTGCTCTAGAAAGGGAATAACAAAGCCTGAATGACAGTACATCTGTTTATAGCATGTTTACTAAATACAGGCATACCTCAGACACGGAAAAAAGGTATCTGCATGTAAGAGCACTTTCTATCAGGAAGAAGGGTAGGTAAGCAGCTATGAATTCAAACAGGGTAACACAAAGGGAAGCAAAGAATTCTTACTGAGGGGGTTAGAAAAGGCTCCACAGGGGGGACAAATGGGCAGGACTTTGCAAGTAAGCAGAGAAAAGGCATTGAGCAGGGGAAACAAAAAGAGCAAAGGTTCAGAGTACAAAATACACCTCTGCTTTCTTCCACCTCACCTCTCTACCCCTTGCTACCAATTCTGATATGACTTGTATGGAAGGGGTGATATCTTCACAGCGGTGAGAAGGTGGGTGTGCCTGAAGTATAGGCAGCGTCAGGAGTCCTGCAACATGAGGGTGGAAAAACAGGTTGGACCTGGGCGTGAAGGGCCTTGGGTGCCAATTAGCAGTTTACTCTGCACACAGTGATATCTCCTGAAGGTCAGAGAATTAAATCTTACAGAAATGTAAGTCTGGCAACATGGAAGGGGTGAGTAAAGGGAGGAACAGTGGAAAACTTGTAGTCCAAGAAGAGGCTATTGTAGCAGATTGGATGAGGGATGATAAACCTCAGAAATGGATCAGGGTCTGACATTTCCAGGTAGTACTGATACAATCTATTGGCCATTGATCCCCATGGCCTGCAGAATTAGGTCTAATAGGAGCATTGTGGTGTCGTGAAGTGTGTATAGTTCGGCCAGCCAAGTTCAGTCTGATTCTGTCTTACCAGCTCTGTGATTCTGAGCAAAGGATGTTCAAATGGGCCTAATGCCACTTTCCTCTTTTTCTTCCAAAGATTAAATGATACAATGTATGTAAACCTAATAAATCTAATATAGTACCTGGCACAAAATAGGTAATTCATATATTTTAGAGCCATTCAGCTGACATTCAAGACCTCTCATAATTTGATTAACATGGATCTTTCTAGGCAAATGGCCCACTCTCCTGTACCCATCCCCTCTCTCCAAAAATGTAGGGCTTTTTGATCAAGTGTTTATTGTTTATAAACTTCCCTCTTAGTACTGCTTTTTCTATGTCCCATGGATTTTGGTATGTTTTTCTATTTTCATTGGTTTCAATAACTTTTTTAATTTTCTTCTTAACTTCTTCATTGACCCATTGGTCATTCAGGAGCTTGTTGTTTAATTTCCATTTATTTGTACAGTTTCCAAAGTTGCTTGTTATTGATTTCTAGTTTTGTTCCATCAAGGTCAGAAAAGGTACTTCATATGACGTCAGTTTTTTAAAATTTGTTGAGACTTGTTTTGTATCCTAACATATGATCTATCCTGGAGAATGTTCCATGTGCTAATGAGAAGAATGTATATTCTGCAGCTGTTGGATGAAATGTTATGTAAATGTCTGTTAGGTCCATTTGGTCTGTAGTGCAGTTTTTAAATCCAATGTTTCTTTGTCATTTTTCTTTCTGCATGATCTGTCCAGTGCTAAGAGTAGGTGTTGAAGTCCTCTCCTATTGTTGTATTAGAGTCTCTCTGTCCCTTTAGATCTCACATAAACAACCTAATGGTGCACCCCAAGGAACTACAAAAGCAAGGACAAAGCAAACCCAAAATTAATAGAAAGAAATAATAAAGATCATAACAGAAATAAATGAAATAGAGTAAACAAAACAATACAAAAGATCAACAAAAAAAGTTGGTTTTTTTGAAAAGGTAAACAAAATTGACAAAACATTAGAGTAACTAAGAAAAATGAGAGAAAACCCAAATAAATAAAATCAGAAACAAAAAAGGAGATGTTATAACTTATACCACAAAAATATAGGGCTGTTTACGATTTCTCAGACCTGCCTTATTCATCCTCATCTCTAAGTCTTTCCTCATACTTTCTTTTCTTGGAATATCCTTCCTTTCCTCAGTTCTCATTGTGACCTATAAAAGTTAATTCTCCTTAAAGGCTCTGCTTCAAATACTACCTCCTTTAAGAACACAGCCTTAATATCCCAGGTGGAAATTATCTTTCCTTTTGTTAAACTCCCAAAGCACTTTATTGGAATCACTCTAATGACCTTCATAATATATTGCACTTTATCTATTAATAGCTATTTGGGATATATTTTTTCTCTGTCCTAGGTACCATCTGGCTAATTTTTCAATTCACTATAGTACTTTAATTCTGCGTACAGTGTTATCAAAATAGATATTTAACTAATTAATGCCATTGACTTGGCTAGAGAAGTTGAATACAGTCAGTTAAGTGCTAGGTATGGGAGTGGGCGTAGGATGGTGTATGTCCTTGCTAACCAGAAAATTAATGGGATGTACCGCTGCTAATCCTAATTTTATTGCTCTCATTTCTACTTCCATCTTTGTAACTCATAGTTCCTCCACAGCATCTAGGTATGGCAAAATTCAACACATAAGGCTGGTTAGGAGTGTTTCAGACAACACCCATCTCACTAATTGGCTGGGTTTTTGTTTGTATGTTTGACCTGTTTTTTGATCTACAGTTTTAATTAGTTGAGTGGCAAAGATAATATTTGCAAAAGGACTTCAGCACTATTTCTGGAAGAAAAATCTAGTTTGACAAATAAAATCATGATCTAGGCTAATAGCAGGTAATTTCAAGATTAAATTATCTACCTTGTAGTCAATGTTTCTGTGAACCTAAAACTGCTCTAAAAAATAAAGTCTATTAAGGAAAATCAAATTATCTGATTAAGTGATGAACTATGGCTTTTTTCACTTAGAAGTTTTAACTTCTTAAGTATGTATGGCTTAGCTTTATGAAATTAGTTTGCAGTCCCTTCTATGTACAGCAAAAGACGTTAGGGGAAGATGGTTTTGAACTAGGCAGCAGGGAAAACCAGCCTGCAATTAAAATTTATAAAGAAAAAACTGACATGTATAATGGACAACTAGATGTGGTAAGTTTTTTCTTTAATTTTTT